GAGAGAGAGAGAGAGAGAGAGAGAGAGAGAGAGGGGGGGGGGAGAAAGAGAGAGAGAGAGAAGAGGGGAGGAGAGAGAGAGAGAGAGAGAGAGAGAGAGAGAGAGAGAGAGAGAGAGAGAGAGAGAGAGAGAGAGAGAGAGAGAGAGAGAGAGAGAGAGAGAGAGGGGGGGGGGGGGGGAGAAAGAGAGAGAGAGAGAGAAGAGGGGAGGAGAGAGAGAGAGAGAGAGAGAGAGAGAGAGAGAGAGAGAGAGAGAGAGAGAGAGAGAGAGAGAGAGAGAGAGAGAGAGAGAGAGAGAGAGAGAGGGAGGGAGAAAAAGAGAGAGAGAGAGAGAGATAGATAGATAGATAGATAGATAGATAGAGAGAGAGAGAGAGAGAGAGAGAGAGAGAGAGAGAGAGAGAGAGAGAGAGAGAGAGAGAGAGAGGGGAGAGAGAGAGAGGCAGAGGTAATTTTATATTTCAGGGACAATTTTAATCAAGTGAACATAGTTTGTCTGCCCATTATATATATATTTTTATACGGATTTGCAGAATACAATTAAGATTTAACGTCAATTGGAGAGGGAGCTTATTATACAGTAATTATAGCTTTGATTACCTGTAAATATTGGTCTTCGTGAGTATCATCATCATTGTGATTAGTGACATTTTTTTTTGTTTTCAAGAATGACACAATTTTTGTAATTTTATTTACTTATACAATTGTTTTAAAGATTTAAAGAATGACACAATTTTTGTAGTTGTATTTACTTATACAATTGTTTTAAAGAATGACACAATTTTTGTATGTTCGTTGTCCCCCGCTTTGTTGACACCGAACAGCTGATCAAAACAAAATAAATTCAGCTGCTTGCCGCGTGATCTAAAACCCTAGAAAAGAAGAAAGAACAAGATCCAGGGAATATAGACATAAGAAGTCCAGAAAACCCTAGAAAAGAAGAAGATCCTGGGAATATAGACATAAAAAGTCCAAAAACCCAATAAAAGAAGAAGAAGAAAGAACAAGATCCAGGGAATATAGACAAGAAATCCAAAAACCCTATAAAAGAAGAAGATCCAGGGAATATAGACATAAGAGGTCCAAAAAAACAATAAAAGAAGAAGAAGAAAGAAGACTGCTTGCCGCTACAAACATTCAAACGTCGAGCTTTGTGAAAATTAATAAGTTCGACCTAAACACAGGCGGAAGTGATTCAACCAAAGTTATGAATTACGAAAGTAGGAATATGAATACCCAGAAGCAGGAACAAGCAATGTATACGTCAAGAGAATATTGGAGAGAGAGAGAGAAAAAAAAAAAGACAAAAATGACAGTTTGTCAAACTACAGTAACCCAACATAGTTAGCAGAAGAGCATAAAACTAAGGATTTCATGGTTTGTTGTGAATTTGAATATTTCATAGTCCGTTTGTATGCACACGTGGTATTTGTCTTGTTCTTGTTTCTTTATGACAATTATTTTTTAGATAATTTGCTTTTTGATAGATTTATCATTAGTTTCCATTTTTTTACCTACTCTTTTATTAAAGCTAATCTCAAAGCTTCTTGTTTTTTTTCATATGTTTTGATTGTAATTTATAAATCTGCTGGAAAGGTTAGGCATGTGATTGTGATTTGGTTTGTGTGAAAATCTGTTGCGTGAAGTGCAAACTTTACTGAGTAATTGGGTCTAATCCTGCTAAGTTTTAACTAATGTTTATATTTTCTAACCTGTTTATTCTTTTTGTAATTAGACTCCATTTATTTTATCTTATGCATGGGAACTTGTTGATAAACCAGAAATACTCACATAGTTTTATTAGTAATGAGTTTTTAATTGGTTTGTTGTGTGAAAAAAAATACAGAAACTGGGGAGCACATCTATACAGTATTTTTAACAGAACATTAACCACAAGCAAAAATAAACAAACTAAAACAAAACAAAAAAAGTTTTGTTTAACAGCAATCAAACAAGCATAAGACAATAGGCACCTCCAGAAAAAAATACTGATTGACCCATAAACCATCTAATACTTCAGATTTCATTCACACAGTACAGAGATATTAGAAACATCAAAAGAAATAAGCTTAGAAAAGAAAACAGATTAATTTGTACCTTCTATTTACAGATTTACAGACTTTTCACCAACAAAAGTACTGCATCAGAAGACACACAGGACAGAAATAATATAACAAAAGAGAACAAATAGTAAGGAAAGGATTCAAGGGATACATACTACTACTACTGTCGCTACAAAAAAGAGAAGAAGGAGAATGAATAAGCAACCAAAACAAGTGAGACCCCTTGCTTTGTAGTTGCATTTAGGCTTTTTAAGGCTATTGCTCTTTTTTTTTTTATATTTCCCCCATTTATGAGATCTAGAAAAGCCAGAGACAGAAAAATTAAATAATAATGTACAGATTCTCCAAAAGAAATTTGTTTCAGAAATTAGATGTAAAAGATATTTATATTTAGAGAGTTAGAGAGAGGCTGAGATAATACCCATATTAATTCACACTTTTGTATATAAAGCAACTGTGCTGTTGCCACTACCTTATGCCAGTTGGTGCTATGGCAGAGGCCAACATACCTTTGCCAAAGGACAGAGGCCAGAGGCACCACTGGACAGTATATTATTTTTTGAGTGGATTTAAGGTTATAGATCACAACAAGTTTTAGGGGAAATTGGACAGAGCACAACCTCTTTAATTGGAAAAAATAATTCCTGTTTTGAAAGTTGCAAGAGTCATCAAAATATTTACCTCCCCTTTTGTTTTATTTTTTTATCGCCTGTCACAGTACATAATTATATCCAATGAAGAAGTAATGTGCTGTAAATATTTTATATGGCAATTATTTTTATTAATTTCATTCCATCTTATGTCCGGGGTGGGAAGGATCCAAATCTCAAGGCTGTCATTTTCATATTGCAGCTTTTGTTGTAGTTTTATTGTTTTCATTGATTCATAAAGGTATTTTAGGTAAGGTATGTTTTATAAAATGAGTATGGCTATAATGTATGGGTGACATTATAAACATGGTACTGATAAGCATGGACTAACAGGACCTCAGCTGAAGCCTGAACATGGTTCACCCCTTCATACAGTTGATTTATTAATTATTGGCAACAGGATAGAGTCAAATTCGATGCAAGTATTTTTAATTATCTCTTGTAATATTTCTAATATGATTGTTTCAGAGTTTGTGCTGAATGCAGGGCAGAGCTGGGGAGGTTACAATAAGGTACAAATTGATTGTCCTTATGCAGAGTAAGTCTTTCCTAGGTTTGTAAAAACTTTCAGTTTAGGAAGCATAGATAACATTTTCCCAATCTTTGAAGTAATTTTTTATGTAAGTGAATAGTTTTATATGTTCTAATATAATCAAATTAAAAGGTTCACCTGTAACACAAGGAATCATTTTTTCTTTTCAGACTTCTTTCACAGTTGAATTAGATAATGTATTGAGTATGAATTTTATTTCCATTCATTTCTTGGTAGTTATATGCATTCTGTTTCATTTCATTATGGATAAGGGAGTCTTGTAATAAGGTCAGCAGTATTGATCATGACTTTTTGGAATAGATGGTTCTGCTGGAAGGTAATTTTGTGGTGTGAGTTGGAACTCAGGCACAATTTCAGTTGACCTGAAAAGATGCTAGTCTGCATGATCAATTTTCTGTCACTGTGTCATTCACTCTCTCCAGAAGTATTTGAAATTTATTGTGTGTGTGTGTGTGTGTGTGTGTGTGTGTGTGTGTGTGTGTGTGTGTGTGTGTGTGTGTGTGTGTGTGTGTGTGTGTGTGTGTGTGTGTGTGTGTGCGTGTGCGTGCGTGTGCGTGCGTGCTCGTGCGTGCGTGCGTGTGTGTGTGTACATTATGTATTCCCAGGAATTTATTAACATGATAGAATATGCAGTTATTTATAGTAAGCATAAGAATACTCATTTAACAGAGTTCCTTTCTCTTTTTCTCAGGATTGTTATTGTTACTTCCTGAGAGATTTTGTCTGCTGTTATGAATGACTCATGTTTGGATATGAAAATTTGTGATGACATGAGGGAATCAATTGATATTAAGGAAGAGAGTATTGAAGATATGAGTGAGGATAATTACCAGGGAATAAAATAAGCTATTGGGGATGTAGAGAAAGAGAATGTTGTCTATGTAAGTAAATGTAAATCATGATAGTCCAATATCTGAGTAAATCAAAAGTCATGGCAAGGAAGCAGTTCAAAAGAAGTTGAAAGTCTGGATGTGCAAGCATGAAGATCCATTGTCATTATCAGTGTTGTTTGTGGCTGAGGGTTGTGAAAACTTAAGCTTATCAGATTGTGATCAGGTGACACAAAAGAAAGGCAGTAAAGGGGTTAGAGAGGAAAGAGTTCGAGCAAGAGGGAAATTATTGTGTGTGAAATATAGAGCGACATTTTCAGTGTTAAGAGATTACCTAATCACATGAGAGTACACGAAAAAAGTAAAACCATTTAAGTGTGAGATATGCAGCAAAAGTTCACTAAGAAGGATCATATATGATAATAGATACAAGAGAGAATAATTTTATGTGTGAGATTTACAGTAAACAGATCACTTTGAAGCTCCATTTAGTGTATCACATGAGACTACATACAAAAGAAAAACCTTTTAGGTGTGAAGTTTGCAGCAAACTGTTTGCTCAGAAGCATCATTTAGTGTACCACATGAGAGAGCCTTCTAGGTTTGAGATTTGCAGCATGCACTTTACTCAGAAGCAGTATCTTATGGACTACATGAGAGTACATACAAAAGAGCAGCCTTTTGAGTGTAAGGGCTGTAGTGAACCATTCACTGTAAAGAGTAATCTGGAAAGTCACACGATAACATTCATTGGAGAAACATTATGTCTGTGATATTTGTACCAAGGCATCTGCACAAAAAGGTAATCTAGGTTTGCACTTTATAATTCATAAAGTAGAGATTTCTTATATTTGTGAAATATGTAGCAACATGTTCACCATGAAAGGGAATCAAGTAAGACACATGCCAGTGCACACGAAAGAAGAAAATGTATAGTTGTGAGGTATGTAAGAAAATTAGTCTCGAGAGGTGCATGAGAGTGCATACAAAGGAGAAGCCTTTTAATTGTGCTATTTGTAGTGGATCATTCCGTTATAAATGTAGTCTTGTGAAACGTTTCAAATCATAAATGGTGTATTTTGCTTGGCTGCCCATTGTCATGTGCGATACCAGTCGGGCAGTGAACTCCGTCTGGAGTTTAAAGGTTTTCTTAGTAATCATTCAGAGTAACTAAGACCAATTTCTAAGTTCGATCTTCTCTGACACTCTCTCACTCACTCGCTCGCTCGCTCGCTTGCTCACACTCACGCTTATTAATGTTGCTACCGCTGCCTCAAACCCAATTTTCTACATGCAGCTGCACACCGTGAGTTACCCAAATGAAGGGCGGTCAGAGCGGAGGAAGAACACAAACATGATACAAAACACATGTCACATAGTTTATTAACTATAAACAGAGGGTAGCAAATAGGGAGTTCTTTCCATGCTACCATGTTAACCATGTAACACCCAAGAAACATGCGCACAACCGTCTCCGCTGCCGGGTCTTACGCAAGCACACGGTAACACCTGTCACCGCAATTCATTACCACTGCCATGGACTCAACACGTCACTGCGGCTCATTGCCTCGGGGTAACATTAACAGCTAGGATCTGAGCTGCGCAGAAAGCTAAAGTGAGCTCACCTTGCTTCTCTGGATCTTGACGACAACAATATTTGGGAAACAAAGCACTGCATAGCCGTTATACACACCCATGCCGCCACAGAAAAGTTCCACGAAAACAAAATTTGTCACAACAACACATCTAAAGGGACGGCCGACGTGCACATCTATATTCAATTCTGCCAGCTTCTGTATCTTACGAGGTGTTCACAAATGAATAATGGCTGGCAGAATCAACATTTCTCAAGCGGTCTTTTTCTTCGAGATGTGAAAAAGAAATAAAATTGTCTACCAGAGTTTTGTTTCCTTCCTTAATGAAAGGGGTGACTCAGATGACTTCATTATTTTATTTTATAGTAATATACCTCTCTCTGTTTTGCACAGAGGTGTGTGGGTGGGAGTGAGCGTGTTTGCATTTATATATATATGTGTGTGGGTGGGAGTGAGCGTGTTTGCATTTATATATGTATATGTGTGCGTGTGCAAAAATGTACGTACACACAGAGGTGAGACATGAAGGAAAGGCAGGGAGAGAGAGAAAAAAAAGATAAATCATATTTTCTGTCAAACTATTTGCTGGAGTCCTAGAAAAAATAACGGAAATATCAAAAGCACGCCCCCCCCAATCCCTTGCCAGGCCAGACAAGGATTCTCTCTTACTCCTTACTCCAGTGCTGTCCTTCGCTCTTACCCCTCTCCCTCCCTTTCAAGATGTTCCTACATCTCCCCAATACCTCTGCTTCATCCCCCTTCAACCCCCTCTCTCTCCATCTAGCAGTCAAATTCTTTTGCCATTCTAAATCCCGACACCCCAATAATCTACTATTCTGAAGCCAGACACTAGTTTCTACTTCCTCCTCACTCGATTCAGCGCATAAGACAAGCTAAAGGTTCCACCGGATCTGCTACCTCATCCTCTCCTACATCAGCCTCTTCCCTCTCCCCTCAAACGTCTGTCCCCTCTTACTCCCCCTCATAAGGAAGCCGCTTCTCAGACCTCCCCAACCAAATCAATTTCAGAAACTCGAAGACTTAATTGCAGAGCTGCTGTACGACTGACGTGTGGCAAATTTAATTATCAACCAACCCCCCTTACACACACACACACACTCTCTCTCTCTCTCTCTCTCTCTCTCTCACACTCTCACACTCTTACACTCTTACATGTACATGTAAAGGTATATATAAATATATATATATAACATGTGTGTGTGTATATATATATATATATATATATATATATATATATATATATATATATATATATATATATATATATATATATATATATATATATGTATATATTGTGTGTGTATATAACAAAAAATACAGCACACACCGGCATATAACAAGGTAAAGTAAATGGGAACAAGCGCTGAGCAGTAGTGATTCCGGGCCCAGGAGGGTCCGAGGAGGGAGCTCTGGAAGGGGCGAGGCGAGACTCGTTCTGTCTGGTTATTCTAGTTCATCGTGGTATTCCGCCAGGGGCGCTAGCATCCATATCGCCCACCATATGCTCACCAATATGTGTATATAAACACATATATGTTTATGTGGATATATATATAGATAAAGAAATAGTCGTCACCTACTTCTCTTTAGTTAGTGTTAAATTGCGTTTTCTGACATTCTCTTTAACGACATCTTTTTGCACTCTAATGACACCATTATTTCTACTTTACATTACTTCGAAAATTACCGTAATAGTTTTCAGATGTGTACTAATGAATATATATTTATGAAAAAAAACTAAACAAACAAATTGGCCAAGCGTTATTGATAATTGTAGAGATTCAATTTTGTGTTACAGAGACTGCAAAATTGTATAGCCTAATCTTTCATGAATAAAGAACACTGGCTCACACTATACATAATCAGTGTTGCAGTCTGTATGTTAATATCTATAAAATCATCGACCCTGGGAGCTGCAATGCATTCCGCAATGGACGACTTTTAAAGATGGTGTCGACACGCGATTTTTTTTTTTTTCGTCATTACTATCATTTTAGATAGTTCTATATGCATGGAAATTGCATTTGCGTAAGGCGAGGAATTTTCATGGAAACGGTTTCAACTATTTGAAGTTGAATGATGGGTAGATTACGATTAATACGACAAGAAATAATTTTTCAGTAGACATGAGGGCACACTCCAGCGAAACACAACCTAAAAGGAATCATGATATATTATAAGCAATGCATTCTGACTTCAAATTTTAGTTAGCTTGGCAACTAAGTCAACATAGTCGCCATAGTGAGCGACTCGCATTTAGCTGAAAGTGGACTGATTGGCCAGACAGATAACATTTTTAAAACGTGATAAAGAAATTTATGAAAAGAGGGTAAAGAGAAGTGAGAAAGTGAAGAGTAATGAGTGTAAGAGGAAATAGTCGGAATAGAGAAAAGTATTAACAAACTTAATGTCGCTCTCTTAAGTAATCAAGAGAGAAAAATATATTCAGCAGAAAGCTAGCACGTGTTTTCTTCTCTCTTTTATAACTATGTAAAGTAGAAATAATAACTAATCCCCAAGAAGGGCATTTCTCTAACAAAGTGTCAGAAAACGGAGAAGACTACAGCAGTAACTAAAAAAAACGAATTTCATGGGTGTTAGCGAATTATCAAAATATGTAATTGGTGAAGAACATGTATAAGACCGTAACCATCATCAATGAAAGGCCAGACTGAAGACTGCTCAGATAAGCAGTCAGGAGGTAATTTATTTCCTTAGTTTTATTTTGCGCCAGTTTTCTTAGCCAGCAGTTAAGATAAGAACTGCCGCAATGGGTTACTCCTTCCTTTCAGGGATTTTTTTTCTGTTTCGGATTTTCAGTAAGAAATTGGAAATAAAAGAAATCCAAACCATAGTTGTATCTGAGAATATAAAAAGAGTATATTTATAAAATGCATTGAATCTATAAAGAGAGCAAAGACACGAAGGAGAATTACGCTTCTTATTACTGTTTTGATTACGGATACGATACAGCGCGTTCGCACAAAAATCTATATTTTCTCTTGATATAATGGACCTTAAGGTAAAAGATATTTTCTCAGTCTTTCGACCATTTCACATCTACGCATAGGGACTCCTTGCCTGACGTCTCTCTCCCCCGGGGTGCTTTTACCCGAGTCCCTCCTTCATCCCAAGCGTGAAAAGCACGATGGCATAAGGGAAGCAGACAAATCTGGCAATATTAATTCTCTCTCTCTCTCTCTCTCTCTCTCTCTCTCTCTCTCTCTCTCTCTCTCTCTCTCTCTCTCTTATTATTATAATTATTGTTTTCATCACTTTTCTTATTCGTATTCTTATTGTATCATTATTATCATTATTAGTATTATTGTTGTTGTTAATGCTGCTGTTATCATTATTACTATATATTTTTAAAGATTATTATTGCAGTCATGATTATTGTTATTGTTATTGTTATTATAATAATAATAATAATAATAATAATAATAATAATTATTATTATTATTATTATTATAATAATAATAATAATATAATTATTATTATTATTATTATTATCATTATTATTATTATTATTATTATTATTATTATTATTATTATTATTATTATTACTATTATTATTATTATTATTATTATTATTATTATTATTATTGTTATTATTATTATTATTATTATTATTATTATTATTATTGTTGTTATTATTGTTGTTGTTGTTGCTGTTATTATTATAATCATTTATTGTCTTCCTTTTCTTCTTATTACTATTATTATCATCATCATTATAATTGTTTCATTGTTATTATAATCATTATTATCTATTATTTATATCATCATCATTACAATTGTTTCATTGTTATTATAATCATTATTATCTAATATTTATATCATCATCATTATAATTGTTTCATTGTTATTATAATCATTATTATCTAATATTTATATCATCATCATTATAATTGTTTCATTGTTATTATAATCATTATTATCTATTATTTTCATTGTGATTATCATTATCAGTTTCACTGTCATTATTTTTTTGTGATGATTATAATGGTAATTAGTATTATCATTCTTATTATTCTTATTCGTGTTATTATTATTTTTAATGTTCATATTATTTGTATTATTGTTGTTGTTATCATTATTATTGCTATTATTATTATTATTGTTAATATTGTTATTATTATCATTGTTGTTACTATTACAAATACTATTATTATCATCATTGTTTTTATCATCTCATTATCAAGATTGCTGTGATCAGTATCAATATTATCATTATCAGTATCTTTATCATTACAATTACTGTTATGATAATTGTTGCCGTTGTTATTTAGATCCTTGTTTATTATTACTGTTAGATATTTAAATTATCTTACTTCGGCCATAGTTCTTAGTACATTGTTCCAATATTATTTCGCGTTCTCCGAGTCTATCATTTTAAAGTGCCATTCGACATTTTCCCGGCATTTAAAATTGAAATATAAAGAACTCGTTCGTATTTACATTCTACTTCAAAGTATACTCCTTCAAACGACCTTGAATTGAGATTATTTCGGTCGCTTAGAAGACTTTAGTTACTGATTCCGAGTTGCCGTTCATTTCCTCGTTCGCCCTCATCCCCATCGGGTCATTCTTGCTCCAGCTACGCCTTCGTCTTCGCCTTAAACTCACTTTCAATCACTCATTCAACTCAGTCTCTCACTACCAAGTAAAAGGGGAATATAAAAGGCATTTGGATGGTTTAAAGTGATTTATTTACGGTGTTTTTTCGCCAACTAATTCCATATTGACGGCTTTATTTCTTAACAATACTGCTGATAAATGACACGAAGTCGCGACCCAACTGCCCAAAAAACACACGGTGAAAAATAGTTGAAATTGCATCATGCACTTTAGTTCTGTGTACATATAATTTTGTCTATATACATATTTATATAAATCTGTAATAACCACCAGTTGTTTCCTCTTAAGTTCGTACATTCGTTTATGAAAAAATGCCATAGCGTAGTGTTCTTGGGAATTCATGTTTTAAATAACATTTGTCATGAACATCGATTGCAGGCATTCCAGTTTCTTGCAAATTTCCATGTGTATTTTTATCTTTTTTTTAGTACAAACTAAGGAAAGTGAAAATGCTTGTAAAAAATTATATTTTATTTGCTTTGACTATTCAAGCATAAATTTTTTGCTTAAAAATACAGGTACTTTGTATATATAAAAAAATCTCAACAACATACATATATTCTTCATAGGAATGCCTGCTCATAATGTTCATAAAATATACACAGCCACTTACTGCCATGCAACATTTTTTCTAAATATATGGAAAAAATGTGCCTATACAGTGATATAAATTGACTACTT